GTGTGTGTGTGTGTGTGCGTGTGCCAGGGGGAGGGGAGGGAGGACCCCTCGCCCACCAATCAACCAATCAATCAATCAACCAGCCAATCAACCAATCAATCAATCAATCAATCAATCTATCAATCAATCAATACTTTCTTTTTTTATTTTTTTCTATTTTTTTTTTCACACACTAAAAACCACCCCCCCAAAAAAAACGAATTTAGAAACAATGGCGGATGCGGCATGTTTTGAGTTCCTAAAGGCACGAAAAACAGGCATCGGCATCTGTGTCAGGGCCTGAGTTCAAAAAGGCGTTCGTAACTCAGGCCCGCGGTGGTGTCAGGGCTGAGGTTTCATTAAGGCGCTTGTGGGCTTTTTTTTTTTTTTTTTTTTTTTTTTTTTCAGTTGGTCGCACCGCACCGTGCCCCGGCTAGTCCCCATGGTCGGGCCACGGCCGAGATGTCTCGGCCACACCCCAGATTAGCCACGCCCGAGATGTCTCGGCCACACCCCAGATTGGCCACGGCCGAGATGTCTCGGCCACACCCCAGATTGGCCATGGCCGAGATGTCTAGGCCACATGCCACGGCCGAGATGTCTCGGCCACACCCCAGATTGGCCATGGCACAGATGTATAGGCCAAACCCCGGCCGTGGCCCGACCATGGTTGTTTTTTTGTTTTTTCCAGCCACGGCATGGCACGGGAAAAAAAAAAAAAACACTTTCTTTTCTCCTTGCTGCCGCGGCGCGACCGACTGAAAAAAAAAAAAAAAAAACCGGCTTAATGAAATCTCTGCCCTGACACCACCGCCGGCCTGAGTTACGAACGCCTTTTCGGACTCAGGCCCTGACACAGGCGCCGATGCCTGTTTTTTCTGCCCATTACGAACTCCCATGTGACATAAACGTACTTCCCTTTTTTTTTTAACTTTTTGTTGTTCAAGGGGGTGGGGTCGGGGTTCCAGAACCCCAACCTGCAACCCCCTTCCTCAACCCCCTCTCCCCTCGGCCGCGGGGGGCCACCGAAGACTGC